GAGAGGGGGGGGGTGGTGAGAGAGAAAAAGAACGCGCGGTGAGAGAGAGAGGGGGGATGAGAGAGAGAGAGAGAGAGAGAGAGAGAGAGAGAGAGAGAGAGAGGTGAGGGAGACAGAATTACGGCGTGAATAGGCAGTTTCATGTTGTTGGGAAAACTTAGCAGAAATCGGTACCTCGGTCATTACAAAGAAGCACGTTTAAGGAAAAAAGACCATTGCACAAGGAGGCTTTTTTTACACGGGGCGGGGGCGAGGGGGGGGCTCTGTCAGGCCGCAGCCACTCACCCTCGCAGGGCGAGGGAGTCCTTGCTTAAAATCCTTTTTTTCCCGGCCCCCGGGAGAAGGGAAGGAGATCCACGGTAGCTCACACACAGAAGCTATTACGAGATACTACCACTAGCGGGGACTGGCGCGGCGGGGGACTCTGCGGTGGGAGGCCCAGCTCCAGGCTCCGCTCGCGGGGCCGGAGCTCTCGGAGGCGGGGGGCGGGCGGCGGCGTGGTCGAGGGACCGGCGGACGTGCGGGCGGCCCCGGCTCGGGCAGTCCCAGTTGGAGCCTACTTTTTGTCACCCTTTTGCGCCTCGGCTTCGTCGGCCGCCTCGGGGGCCCGCTCCAGCTTCTGCTTCTCCAGCTCCTCCTGCTCGCACTTGCTACTGGGGAACTTGTCTTTGTTGTTTTCTTTTTTCCACTTCATTCTCCGGTTCTGGAACCAGATTTTGACCTGTCTCTCTGTCAGTCCCAGCGCGTGCGATACCTCGATCCTCCTCTTGCGAGTCAGATAGGGATTAAATAGGAATTCCTTCTCCAGCTCCAGGGTCTGGTAGCGGCTGTAGGTCTGTCGGCCTCGCCTGCGTCCGGCGGCTGCTGGGAATGGGGGAAAGGGCGAGACAGAGGGGAGGGGAGGGTGGGGGAGGGGGCAGAGACAGAGAAGGTTGGAAGATTCGTGAACCAGCTTAGAGACCAGTATAATAAGGACCTGGGACCCTATGGGGGGAGGAGGGGTGCGGGGAGGCTGTGGTCAACGCGGGGGAGGGTTCAGAGGGACTAGACACCACTGAATCTAAGGAGGCTGTAAAGGAGGAGCCCCTTCCCCTGGCAATCAGAACGGGGGGGGGTGTTCAAACATACTTAAAGTGCCATAAAGTTTAGGAGGAAGGATGTGGTGGTGGGGGGGAGTAAGACTAGAAAGCCAGGGTGGGGTACAACAGACCCACCTTGAAAAGCCCCCAGAGCCTCTGCCCCAGAAGAAAAGTTTCTTCAGGGCAATTAAACTATAAAGCAATTGAGAAGTGCAAAAGTTGAATGTCCCGGACTCCCACCACTCTTTCTCCACTACCCCCCATAAAACAGTAAAAAAAAAAAGGGGGGGGAGGGGAAGAAGAAAATAAAGGAGGTGAGGGGTTTATGGATTCAGGAAATGTCGATTAGCGACCCCCTTCAAAGGAAGCAAAAAGAAAAGGAAAGAAGGAAGGAAGGAAGGAAGGAAGGAAGGAAGGAAGGAAGGAAGGAAGGAAAGGGAGGTAGGTGGTTGGACCTGAGCCCAAGAGTCTTCCAGAAGCAGGAGGAAATTCTCCCCGGCCTGCCCAGCCCCCTGCCCGGCCTTGGGCCCTCCCGGCTCCTTCCTGCCCCGGCAGACCGGGACCCGAGCTCACCTTGCGGGCGCATCCAGGGGAAGAGCTGTGTGGGCGACGGGCTCTGCTCCGAGCCCTCGGCCTCCTCGCCCAGGCCGCTGGCGGCGGCGAGCTTGCAGTCTGCGTACTGCACCAGGTCTGGATCCTGCGCACCGAACAGGCTCTGGCGCTGCAGCGGGTCATAGCCGTAGAAGTTGCCGGGGTCCCCGTGGCACGCTACGGCGCACGGGTTCTGCTGGTAGGGAGCCGTGGACAGCGACGACGGCCCGTGGTAGAACTCCTGGATTTGCGACGGGTGCTGGAAGCTGCCGCCGCTGCTGGGACCGTACACCACGGTGGGTCGGCCGCCCAGGTCTTGGGCGAAGCCGCAGTCATAATAATTGGGGCGCAGGGACTCCCCGGTTTTGTATTTGGAGAACAGTGAGTTGACGAAATAAGAGCTCATTTTATTGAATTTTGAGGCGGCGGCGGCGGCGGAGGCTGTAGTTGGGGGCTGTTGGGGAGGGGG